AGAGCATTGCCATCATCTCTTCCCCGGATTAACGCAACATCTTCCATGGGTTTCCCTGCTGCTTGCACTGCCTCTGACCCAATCTGCTAGTCAGTAGGAACTTTCTAAACACATATCTGAATATGTCATTCCCCCAGCCCCCAGAGTAAGAAATCCCCGATACCTTTGCTGAGTTACAAGGCTCTGCTTGACGTGAGCCCTGCTCATCACCAGATCCTTCAACTCCAACCACTGTGGACCTCTCCCTGAGCTTGCTCTCTCTGGCCTCTAAGCCTGAAATCATTCCGCTGTTCCCTATACCTGGGACACTCATTCTGTGCTGCCTCCTCCCTAGTTGTCCATTCTATACCCAGTGTCCATTTGTGAAGGGTAGCCTCTCCCATACCCCAAGAGCATTCTTACCCCATCCCCCACCTCTGGTCTGATTGTCCCCTCCCACACTGGAGCTCCACCCCAGAGACTCCAGGCCCGGCTGCCCTGGACAACACTCTCTTCCTACCTGTTCCTGTCCTTGGCCTCGTGGGGCCAGGCTTGCCAGCTCTAGGGCCATGTCCGCCTGCCCTTTATATCCCAGTCTCTACCCCCCCACTCTTTGCAGCGCTTCCTTTTTGGGGTTGTGATTCTTCCTACACTCTCCATTTGTCTCTTAAAAAAATGTTGTCCACTAATTTTCTGTTTAAATAAAAATTAAGTTAATTTAAAGAAAACATTAAATAGCACACATGGTACAAGGACACTACATGATAATAGTTTAGGAATTGTGACTCAAACACCATTATGGTGCTCTGTTCAGACCGCTTCAATCTCTTTTACTGTTTCTGGACATCCCTCTCTGGGACTTGATGTGCTTTGGCCTCCAGTGCTGGTACCTGTCCTCAGATCACTGGAACTGTTTTGCTCCCATTCCCCAAGAGCCCAATGTGCCTGGGGACTTTAAGCCCCCCTCCCTCACAGGGACAGTCCATAGCTTTAACTGAGAGTATGACAGCCCAGTTCCTTAACCCTCATTTCAGACAACTCTGAGATCCTGTCTAGAACAGAACCTAACACATATAGTGGGCACTCAATAAATGTTTGTTGAAAGAACAAATGTAGCCAAATGTATCAATCTTATCCTTTGTCATATCTGTATTTCTTTGTAATTTTTGTCACTCTTAGCCTTTTCCCAACCAACATTTAAAAAGCATTTACTTTGTTTTGTTATACTTATTTATGTATTTTTGTATTTAATTATTTGATCCATCCTGATACACTGTAAAGACTAAGATAAATGTATTTTCTTCTCATGACTAATCAGTTGAACCAGTGGCAATTCTTGAATCTTTCCGTCATCTGTCAAACCAAGATACTACCTTATCTAAGACTCATTTAGTGAGGTATTATGCAATCATTTATTATGGTAGTTATAAATGATTATGTCACCACATGGAAAAATACTCACCCTATAATACTCACCATGATATATATTAAGATTTTATTTATTTGACAGAGAGAGAGAGCATGAGCAGAGGGGAGGGGCAGAGGGAGAGGGAGAAGCAGACTCCCCACTGAGCAGGGAGCGGACTGCAGGACTCCATCCCAGGGCCCTGGGATCATGACCTGAGTCAAAGGCAGATGCTTAAAGGACTGAACCATCCAGGTACCCCTTAACCATGATATTTTTATAGCTACATAAAATTATGTCAACACATTGGCAAGGACAGGGAGAAATGTAGAAAAATAGATTGATTTGAGGATGGCGATAGGGCTGTGGGTGGTTTTTCTCTTTGATTTCTATGGATATTTATGAAATAAATAATAAGTTGAATCTTTAAATGAACAAAATATGGAAGGTAAGAAGGACTTAAGATAGCAAGCTGTTTTTTTACCTGAGCTTGAGACAAAGGCTTGGGTGAGGTAATTGTTTTTTGTTTTGTTTTGTTTTTTTAATGCTACAAAGTTATAGATTTTTATCCATTTATTTAACAGAGATAGAGAGAGAACACAAGCAGGCAGAGCGGCAGACAGAGGGAGAGGGAGAAGCAGGCTCTCCACTGAGCAGGGAGCCTGATGTGGGGCTCGATCCCAGGACCATGGGATCACGACCTGAGCTGAAGGCAGCCGCTCAACCGACTGAGCCACCCAGGCGCCCCTGTTTTTTTTTTTTCTTTTTAGAGGTGATCTCAGGAGGAAGCTGAGGACAGTGAAGGATTGTTACTGGAGGGTCCTGGGGAGTCATTCTTCCTGGAAAGGCCAGACAGGGGAGAGGTTCTGTGTATGGAAATCATGTTCTTTGGCCTTGTACCTCTGAGTTCTGAGCTCCTTCCCAGCCTCAACTAAGTGAGCAGAACCTCTGGAAGTCCCCCACCCAAAACATATCAAGGCCTCAAGCATGTGGATGGGTGAGTCCAAATGCTCCCATCACCTTGCCCGGACTAATGGGATGCTACAACAACCAGGCAGCAAGGATACTGCTCTGTGTGGTTATATACTAAGAACTGTAGGAGAAACATGTCTCCCTGAACAGCTTTCTCTAAAAGATCCCTCTGACCCCTTAGAATTCTGCAGTTTTTAAAAAGTTGAATTCAGAGAACATTAAAATTCACCAGGCCCTGGGCCAGCCATGCCCTCATAACAAATGTGAAGAGCATTAGAAGTAGGGACAAGTGTAGCCCTGGATGCCATGGGGCCCTAATCTGGTCTGCACTTGGGACGGTTAGGCAGGGCATGTCCTAGAGCCTGGGCTACATACTCTAGGACTTGCCTTCCTAACCAAAAGGGCACTTCACTTCAATCTTCATGTCTCGACTACCCCAGGCAATCCACTGGGGTCCCAAAGGTGCTGTGAGAAGAGCAGATACTCAAGCATGAGCACACACCGTGGCAACTGGCACCAGGACCCGCCCACACGCACAGAGCCAGGATGTCACTTGAGGTCTTGGATTTGGGGCCTGTGGAGCTTGCCCAACTACCTCTTAGAGCAGCTCCCCTTAAGTGCTTTCCCACCTGCCTAGCCACAGGAGCCCGGTACCAGGGATGTCTCCCACACCGGGGCCTTCATTGGGCTCCACCTGGTGCAGAGACCGGTGAGGTCTGCAGGCTGCCCCTGGCCAGAGGGCTTTTCCCGCAGTGTACTTTAAAACTTTGGAGAGGTTCGCTGGTTCCCCCGGTGAGCACGCGACCTGGCTGCAACCAGCTCCGGGCTCCAGGAGTCGTGGAAGAACGAGAAAGGACCTACCAGAGTCACCCCTTGTAAGTCGCTACGGGGCTGGAAGTGCCTACAAGGCCTGAAGTGCGCGCGCAACCCGTGCCGGGGAGGTACGGCTCTACGCCCCAGTCCGCCCACTCAGCCTTCCCTATCACGTCACGCTCCGCGGGCCCTCCCCAATCCGCCTGATTGGCGGAGAGCGCGCGCGCGTACTTCCGCTCCGCCCTCGGACCCGCCCTCCTGCGGCACTGCCCCGCCCCCTGGCTTACAGGGATGTCTGTGTGGCTTCCAAGTTGGAACGCAAAGGCGCTGGCGCGAAAGGGCTCCGACCCTCCGAAGCTGAGGGGGCACTTTCCCGTCATGCATGCGCTCTGGCCGCCGCTCCGGGCCTGACAGTGGCTGGCTGCTCTTCAGAAGCACAGTCCCTGCCCAGCTCGGCCCGCCACAGGCCCCTTCCTTTCCTCAGCCCTCGACCGGCTCCTCCACCCCCCCTTATTGCAGAGCACCCGGAAATGCCCATTGCCCGGGCCCCCCTCGACGCCGACACCCCCACGTGCCAGGAGGTTGGTCCTCGAGGACCCGCCGCCTGGCTCGCAGGCTCTCAGGCCCAATGCGGATGCGGGTTCTGCCGGCACCCCACGCTCGGAGCCCCCAGCCCCGACCACAGACGCCCCCTCTTGACTCCCGCTCACTCCTGGGCCCTCCAGGATTCTTCCCACTCTGGAACCCCTCTGCCGCCCCACACGCCCCCGGGTTCTTCCTCACACCAGCGCCTGGGACCCCTTGGCGGACCGCCTCCGTGTGTAAGGGACCACTCCTTAGCAGCCTCTACCTCTACACACCGCTGCCCTCCGCGCCGTCGTCCCAGACTCCTCGGTCCCCGCCCCCGGACGTCCCTCACCCAGCATCTCCCCCAAGGCGTCCTCACGGGACCACCGCCCCCCGCCCCGCAAGTTCCTCCTCTGGCCTTCTCCGGGTGAACATCCCTAGTCAGGGCCCAACCTCGCTCCCGCAGCCGTGCGAGCCTTCCTGGGCCCTCCGGTCCCACAGCGCACACCCCTCTGTACCCCACCCGCACACCCACGGGCCCCCGCTTAGCCCCCCACGCCCCTCACCGCGTCTGCCAGACTCCTCCCCACACCTCTCTCCCCCCACCCCCGGGCCCCTCGCATCAACCGCCAGAACCTCTCTGGATCTCCTGCATCGCAAGCCCTGCACCCCACTCGTCTGCCCGAGACCCCCCCCAAGCACACACCCACTCGCACGCTTCTCCCGCCCTCCACTCTCCCCCCCCCCGGGGCCGGCGGGCAGCACCGCCGCTGGCTGCGGCGACGGAGGCCGGTCTCCGGGCCGGGACACACCCACCCGCCCGCCCTCCTTCTTTCCCTCGCTCCCTCCCTCCTTCCCGCCCGCCCTCCCGCCCTCGCTCGGCGCTAGCTCCTTCCCCCTCGGCCGCTCCCGCTTCCCGCGGCGCCCGGCCTCCCGCTCCGCCTCCCCGTGCGCGGCTCTCCCGGGCGCGGCTCCGGGGTTCATGGTGACGAGGCGGCGGCCGCTCCAGCCCGGCGGCGGCGGCGGCGGCGGCAGCGGCGGCGG